TGTGTACTTTTATTTAAATCCTTATAAGATGTAAACACTGGCTGAATATTTAATAAATATTATTAATTTTCTAAGGCATGATAATATTGCACTTATCTTTTAGATACATTTATGAATTTTATGTATTTTAGAAAAACATTTATGTTTATATTTATTGAAGTAATAAGGTGTTGGGAACTTGCTTTAAAATAATATGAAGCAGAAGGAAGTGGATGAGGATGAGGTAGGACTGGCCATGTTATTGGACATGGGAGTTCACTAGACCATTTGCCTACTTTTATGCATGCTTGAAATGCTCTATAATAAAAAGTAGTGTCTTTCACACACACACACATACACAATGAGCCACAGCACCTATTGCTGATTGCTGGTGGTATATATGAAGGAAATTCTCACACAATGCTGGCAAAAATGTAAAGTGCTACAACCTTTTTAGAAGGAAACTTTGCAAGATCTATTTTTTAAAACACATATGTCTTTTGACCCAGTAATCCTACTTTTGGGACTCTATTACTTAGAAATAGAACACATGAGGCCACATGACAAATATATTTTCTGTGACACTGTTCATAGGGGACCCCAAACTGGAAACAAAGTGAATGCTCAGAGCAGTATATTTTGTAGATTGGCCCACTTTAACCACTGTCTTGTGTGTCTTTCTATTTTGTAGAGGCTGGAAAGCTAAAGACATTCCCCAGTCTCTCTTAAAGCTAAAGCTTTTAGTTTGTGACAATTTCACCAATCGGATGCACTAGTGCAGATATGACAGACATAATGTAGGGCCAGAGTCAAAAGTTCTAGCAGTAGCTTCCTGAGTGTCAAGTTGCAGCTAAGGTAGTGTGATTGTGGAGCCAGCAGCTGGAACAACCGCTTCCAGAACGTGACAGAGGTAGCAGTTCCCTTGGAGGGAGGTTCTGCAGGACTGTTGTGGGTGTGGTTCCCGGAAGCCCAGCCTAGAACCTGCTACTTGGGCTCCCATGATTTTGCAAGTCCCGAATCCCTACATTAAATCCCTTTCTACTTAAAATAACTACTTTCTTTTATATACAACTGAACATAATGGTTGAATAAACTGGATATTATATCTCCATATCATGGAATACTATGGAGTCATTGAAAAGAATAAATTAGATCCAAACTAGATGACTTCCTAGTCATACAGAGAGATTTTCATGAAGTACTTCTAAGTGAGAAAATAAAAATATGATTCCATTTTTATAAAACAATGACCAGCTCCCTGAAGTCTGCATAAATACATGGACCATTATGATTTTATGAGCATGGAGAAAACACTGAAGGTCACGTACTAGATTATAAATATAGGTTAAGGTGTGTGGCTAAGGTATAGGAAAGGGGCTAATATTGGGAGAGGAGGTGGAAAGGGAAGGTTTTGAAAAAAATAGCAAGCATGATATGATCATATATATATATATAATCACTTGTGTACTTGTATGTGTATATATAAAGAGTGCTAAAAAGGATAACCAATTTGTTAGTCTCAGCATGGTGAGATTTCAGATAGGATTTATTTTTATATGATTAGGGAGAAAACTAAAGGTCTTTTCATTGTGAGGAAAAAAAAGCAAAACACCCTCTCCCTGCCAAATCCCTGTGATTTATAATAGTAACAAACACTATAAAGTACTTAGAAATAAATCCCATAAATGTTTAACAAGATCTTTATAGAGTAAGTAAATGGAGCATTATATAATATTAATGAATTAGAGGTTTAAATATAATAAAGATGGCAATTCTCCAAATTAACCTATAAATTTAAAGCAATTCTAGTATAATCTCAAGAGAATTTTTCACAGAAATTTGACAAACTGGTCCCTGAATTCACGTATAAGAATAAAAGGCTTAGCACAGACAATTTTGAAGATGAATAAGGAAAGGATCACCCTATCAGATATCAAGACATTACAAATCTGCAATAATTAAAAATGTGGTATTGCACAGAGACAGATAAATACATAAGTGAAACAGACTAGAGAGAGAATACACAGACCCACCAATATAAGGAAACTTGGACAGTGACAGAGGTGACATTATATATTAGTGAGGAGCACAAGATAGCAAATGACAAACATGGGTCATTGGCTTCTTTCAAAACCCACCATGGAAATGCTACAGAAGTGATAGGTTAATGGATAATAGAATATACCATAAAATCATTGAGAAGCCTTTGGGGATATAGGAAATGGTCCCATATACCAGTGGGTGCATGGGAAATGTCAGTCTGGAGTAGAAGATGGTCAGGCAGAGGCTGGGCTGGGGGGAGCATTCTCCTTGCATTTTGTTCTCTCCCCTACATCATTCTGGGTGAGTCACCTCACACCTCTGGGGGGTAGAAGAGCAGTTCCCTCTCAGTGCCACAGAGCATCTGAGTCGGGTTATGGCAGAGCTGGGACGTGGTGGTGTGGGGAGCAACTAACAACAGGTGCAGATCAATGTCTTGACTCCTGAGCATCCTAACCCCTATCTCAATCCTAAGGGTGGGAGCTCTTGTAAAAGATCAGAGCTTGGGGAAAAAAAGATACAGAAAACTGACCATGATCAAACCTAGACTGAAATAACAGAGGTCACCACTCTAAAGGGTTTTTCCTATCACTACAACCAGCACCCTACAATATCACACACATTCAACAAACTTAAGAAGGGGGTATAAGTTAGAGTCTGGTCTCCTCTCCTACGTATACATCATCTGTTTAGGTAGCTATGTACTCCCAAGGCAATGTGAACTCACAGGGGAAAATAACGAAGCAGATGAGGGGTACATGCCAAATAGTCCATGCTAAAGGGAGCAGAATCAATGGACCAGATGGATATAAATTTAAAATACCCATAGTAAATATGTTTAAAAAGATAAGGTAGAGTATTGGAAATAGGAAGCAGGAGCAAACATGAAGAACAAATTGATGATGAATTTGATGAAGAACAAATTGTGTGAATAATGTTGACAGCTGAAAATAAAAACTGAATAAATTAATTTAGCTTCAGGATAGGAATAGCTGAAGAACAAATTAGTGAGATAAAAGATCACATAAGGAAAGTTCTCCCAGACAGGAATGGGGAACGGGCTTCTGGATCCTGGAGAGTAGCCTTTTGACTGAATCCAATCTTCACAGAAATTTGGATTGGGTCTAAACTTTAGACAAAGAGATGAAAGAGATGAAAAAAATGAAAGTTAGGAGACATGAAGTTTTGAAACAGAAGTGTAACAGAAATCACAGAAGAGAAAAACAAATTACAAGGAGGAAATATTTAAAGACATAATGACTGAGATTTTCCAGAATTAGAAAAAAAATGTAAGACCACTGATTTAAAGAGCACTACCAGGAGACATCAAAAACAAAAACCTCCCATACCCATTAGAGTGAAATTTAAAATAACCGAAGCCAGAGAGAATTCTAAAGGTTTCCAGAGGGAAAAATTATCATCACCTACAAAGCAACAGGGATCTGCTCTATGACAGACTTCTCAACAGTCATGCTGGGAGCAGGAAGACAATGGTGTAGTAAGTAAATTTTATATTGAAAGTATCATGCTCAAATTTGTCTACTTTTCTCTTGTCTTACTTACAATTTTGCCTTCATTCCTGAGGTGGTTTAATTTTTCCTCCCACTGCTTTCCTAAGTTCTGCCAGCTCTTGCTTCATGTGCTCATCATCTCTTCGCTAAGCTCTTGCTTCTCTGCTCAGTGCTCTTGATTTCAAAAAATAGCTATTTCATTCAGTTATAAACTTCATGTCTCCTTTTATTTTTTTCATCTCTTCATCTCTTTGTCTAAAGTTTAGACCCAATTCAAATTTCTGTGAAGACTGGATTCAGTCAAAAGGCCACTTTCCAGGATCCAGAAGCCCACTCCCCAGCCCTGTCTGGGGGAAGTTTCCTGATGTGATCGATCTTTTATCTCATTAATTTGTTCTTCAGCTAAATTCATTTATTCAGTTTTTATTTTCAACTGTTAACATTATTTACACAATTTCTTCTTCATGTTTGCTCCTGCTTCCTATTTCCAATACTCTACCTTGTCTTTTTAAACATATTTATTATGGGTATTTTAAATTTATATCCATGGGTATTTTAAATTTTAAATTTATATGCATCTGGTCCATTGATTATGCTCCCTTTACATGGACTATTTAGTATGTGCCCCTCATCTGTTATAAACGTTCATGTTTAGTCACAAGTTTTATCTACTCTAATGTTTTTCTGCCAGGTATTTTTAATTTATAGTTTTCCTATTTCTTTCCTCTATGTTTCCTCAAAATATTTTAGTATAATCCTCTGCTGGTCTTTTTTGATGACTTTTTTTTTTTAAGCAGTTAAGAAAGGTTTTCCTGGATCAGCTATTTGCAGAAGGCTTGCAAGAAGTACTGGGATCTTCCTTAATATTCAGAGTTTTGTGCATTAATTTGTTTAGTGTTTCCTTCTCCACATGGCAATAGGCATCTATGCTCCACCCTCCTCCCCCAACATACACACAACGTAAAACCTGTGGATCCTCTTCCCATTGTTACAAACTAAGGATCCAAAACCTTCCCTCTGTGTAAACTGTTTATTTTTGAGAAATGTACTCTACTAGCTCCTTCTGCTATCTGAAGCCATAGCATGCTATTTCCTCTTGCATGCACTCCTGCTTGATAACTGCTTTTGGAAGTCATTCTACCTATTTTGTGGCTTAGTTTTAGAGGTGTCTCCTAGTTTCCTCCACAAATGGAGTTTGTACTCTTCTTGGTTTCTACAAAAGATGGAGGGAGGGGGAAGGGCAACTTTACACTACCATTTTCACAATGTAAAAAAAACCCACAATGTAACCTATTTAAATGTGAGACTGAAAGAAAAATATTCAACTCTTCAGAGAGTTACCACCCAAAGATACTCTTTGAAATTAACATCAGCCAGAAGAAAAATAAATATGGAGGATACCCAAGATATGAGTATTAAAGGAAGAAAGAGAGAAAGAACAGTAATCCAAAGCTGAAATTCTATATGACATCAACATGGTCTCATATGTATGTATCAGAGGATGTATCAGAGCTATGTGCCTAGTTCCTTTGGTGTTGGAAGGCTTATCCTTGGAAAATTTAGCATTTTGAGCTAGAGAGTCTTTGAGATTACATCTCCTCCTTTGGGAGATGCTAAAGCTCTAGGCCTTTCAAAGGCATATTTTGTCTTGTCTTTAAATGTTCAGAATGTCTGTATGTAGCACACAGTAGAGAGCTAATAAATTGTAAATGAATGAAGGTCACATAACACAGTCACTCAGTCACCTGACTCCTGACCCACACTGCTCTAGCTCTCCTAATGCACCATGTTATTCAAATGAACTTTCCCAGACTTAAAATACCATTTGCCTATTTAAGTGTTTTATACTAATCAATAATATACCATGACATTTTCTCAAGATTTGGCCAAGAACACAAAACTACAATTTACATTTTCATACCCTTTCTGGGCATCTTAGGAGTTGAGAGGCGTTGCTTTATGTTTAGTCATCCAACATTAGAAAAATCTGCCCAAACAGATTTTTAGACTGGTTAAGATGTGGGGAGGGAACAGGTTGTGACAGTGGACTGGTGAAAAAATGACCATTGGCTTTGTGGTGGGGGAAAGGGTAGAATGGTAGAACAAACATAGCTTTACCGCTCTAAATAGTGAAGACCTACTTATTTAAGTATGTATTTATCTACTCGCTCTATTTATTGTCTCATTTTCCCCACTCCATCTCTCTACCTTACAATAGCAAGTCTAATAAGTATTGACTGACCTAAAAGGGGGAGTTGGGGAGGGCAGAGATTAATTTTCTCTATATCCATTGAGGCTCTGGGTTTGAAAATTATTTTTCCTTTACTCCTTTCTTCTCGCCAAACCTCAAACAAACTACTACCATCCAAGAAAGTCTGTTTTGCTTATTTTGGAGCTGCTGACTTTTAAAATATTTGATTCTGGTCTCCTACCCAACTCTTTGGCCTAGAGCTCACAGCCAAGTGCAAAATAATCTGGAAAGGATGGTGGGATGAAAATATGTACCTTGGCTATGTGCTCTCCACTGAGCAGCTGACAGCATTCCTTGTTATAGATTTGAACAAACGTGTAAGCCTCCTGCTCCAAAGGGGACCAAGTTTTCCTCTTGGATAGTCTGTGATTCTTCTGCATGTTTCCTTGAGTTCTTCATGGAGGAATGAGCCCTCTAACCCTCAGGATGAGTAGAAGATAGTGCTGGGATCCTGGAAATGTCAGAACTCACTATCCTTGAATGTCAGTGTTGATGGGAGAAAAACCTAACTACTTTAAAACAAATTTCAATAAAGACTTTGGATGGATTTGTCCAAGTGACAGGTGACAAAGTTGCTTTATTAGCATTGTGCCATATATAAAACATTTTAAGATCACTGTGTGCCTTTCACAAAGCAAAAGTAAAACCTTGAGTATTTCTTATAGTACATACACATATATGCACATTGACCAACTACATATAAATTAGTAATCATTATCGTCTATTTAATATTTACAGTTCACAAAACAGTTTCACATTATCTTATTTAATCCTCACAACAAACCCCAGAGGGAATTCTTTATTATCAGACCATTCTAGTAGAGAATGGCATAGAGCTACATTCTAGTGACAGATCTGGGGCCTCAAGTTTTCAAGTGTTCGTAAGACAGCTGTCATCAGGGAGACAGCGTAATAAAGTCAACTGAGGATCACAATAACTGGTTTAAGGTGTAAAGTATGTGGCCTTGAGCAAATGTCTTTAATACTGCTTGGTTTCAGTTTCCATATTCCAGTTTTTATATTTCCATTCTTTATGGCCCCTAGCAGCATACCTGGCTTCAAGAACAAGCACTCTGAGTTTATGGTAAATATGAGCTCTTTAGAGGCAGCTGAGACCACTTATCTGGTCAGAACCTTGGTCTTTAAGGTTAGCATTAAGGAAATGACAATTTCTAGCTAGACAAGACCTTCCCCCACCCCAAGCTGCCCTAACATGATACCACTAACATTGAGAATGACAACGTGAATATTATCTGGAAACTAACTACAACCCTAATATTATTCAACTTAATCTTTGCCATTTTAAAACAACTGAAACATGATTATAGGAAATGATAATCTAACTATATTCTCCTTGGTCAGAACACATCTGGAGTTCATTGCTCACAGCTGGATTTAAATTTTAAAGGAGTCATTAACAAACTGGCAGACATCAGAAGAGGGCAAGCAGGATGGTAAGGGCTCCTTAAATGTTGTCATAAGGCAAAGACTGTACAGTGCCTTGTAGTTTTCGAGTACTTTGCCTACATTTATCCTTTCTACAAATTGGTAAGGTAGGCTACTTTGCATTAGAGACATGATTAAAGAATGTTTCTGTCCTATCTCCCCTCCTAAATATTTAAGAATCTGCAGCTTCTCCACAGAACAAGTTGTAGTGTGCAAATGTTTGTTACTAAAGGAATTTGGCTTCAGAAGAAACAGGAATAAAGAATAAAAGGTATAGGGAGGCTAATGCTGGGAAGTTAGATGTGTGTAATCAAGCTATAAAAAACCTGCTTCATGAACTTACCAACACCAAGAGAAAACAAGTGACACCTAGATGACCATCTGTCAGAAATGTAGTTAAGTCAACAACAGTTATTAAGTACCTACTACATGATAGTCATCAAGTGTCAAGGGAGGAGTTGAAGGGGAATCCATCTTTGTTCTTGCTCTCCAGAAGAGCAGAGGGTAGAAAAGGCTGATATGCAAACTGATCATGCATCAATAGAAGCATATACAAGGTACAGTAGTACTGTGACTCTGAAGGATAAAAATTTGTCAGGAAGAGCCTGGGCAAAAGGGCAGTCCAGGCAAAAAGAATACACATGGTATGCTTGGGATCTTCCAGTAGTCAGGATCACAGCAGGACAGTTTCCTTCTTTGGGTATGATGGTAAGATAGACAATTTCAGAAGTCCTTTTGAAAACTCAACTTTTAAATCCTTCAGTAGTCTCCAAGATGTTAACATCTCTAGTAATTCTCTGGGAGGTCTAGCTCAAGTCAACTAGTTTAAACAACATAATGCCCAGTTCTCTGTAGGTGGTATATTAAAACATCCAGAAAAGATAAGTGATTTTGCAGTGTGTATGTAAGGTGTGCTATATAGTCCTGGAACCCATGTGCTTAAGCAATTCTGAAAGGGAAATCTAGAATTAACATCTGAAAAATAATTAAGAGGATGTTACCATGCAAATGAAATCCAACTTTCCCTAATGGTTGCTTAAATTCTGGACCTCTAAACGTTTTTGAGGGGAGCCTCACCCTAGTAATTAAAACTTGAGCCAATTCTGTCACTCTTTGTCCCCTTGCCCTGCTTTACTTTTCTCCACAGAACTTATTACTATTGCTGTGTCCCACCATTATGTAAGCTCCTTGAGGACACAGAAAGTCTATCTTGTTTACTGCTGTATTCTCAGAGTGTATAACAGTAACTGGCACATTATCAGGGTTTTCATTTCATCCACTGAGTGAATGAGCCTTTAGCTGAGGCAATTACCCTCCAATGTGAGCAGTAAATACATACTCAGTTGTGATTAGGGTACACACCCTCTCTACTTAAGCAGGGTTTGCAGTTCTGCCCTACTTTCCCAGTAGTTAAAGTAGGCCTTTATAACTTTTAAGACACTTGACAAATAAAATGCTACCATTCGTGAAAACAAAAGATTTCTGGAAGAAGTATTAGAAACTCCACAGGTGCCAGGACTAGGGAAAGACTGTGTACTAAGTGTTTATTATTTGATTCTTTAGCCCTGCCCCTAGGATCTCTACACTTGGTCAAATAGAATCAGTTTCTTTCATCTTCAGTGTTCACAAATATTAAATGCATTGTAAAGAGCTTGTGAATTACCTCCACAGAGCCAAAACAGCACAGTAAAATAGTGACAAAAGCTAAAGAATTGTTCTTTCTCATTACACACCCAATATCTATCATGAGATACTAAATTCAACCTGTCAGAGGTTAGGTAGCGGCTACTCCATCCACCAATATGCTTTCACACTCTGGGACATCTGAAAAGGCTGTGAGAGGGCTGACACTATGAGTTGTGCAGACTCTTGGTGAGATGATCTCAAGAGGACTACTGAGAATGAGCACTTTTCTCCCTTTTATCCCACTCTCCACTGTCGGTACTATTAACAACAGTGCTCAGTGTACCTCAAGCTGGCCAAACTAGAAACCTTGGAGTCATACTTGATTTTTCCTTCATTGCTTATTAAGTCACTGAGCCTACTGAAAAATTTCCTTCAATTTGCCTCTCCTTTTTCACTTTTAATACCAAAGGACTATCTATTTATGCCTGGACTACTGCGACAGCCTTCTGTGTGGTCTCCAGTCTCTTCCTCCTCTAATCCTTCCTGTTTACTATCACTCTATGAAATCTGGGATCAACAGATCCCTTAACAACGCTCAACTTCATCTGGTGATCTTCAATTAAAAAAAATCACCACCACCAAAGATACCCAAACACCTCAGAGACTTCATGTTTAATGGATATTCCTCAACCTGGAGCTCAAGACACTCCAACAAGTGACCTCAACTCTTCTAATTGTGTTTTCTTCATTTATTATTACCACCCCCTCCACCCCTTAATTTCAGTCAGGTTGGTCTGCCACCATCCTCTCAATATACCACATCCAACCAATCCCCACATTTTGATGACACAGACTCTATATGGGGTAAACATTTAAGGCTATTCACAGAATTATTAAAATCTTATATATTCTTCAAGATCCAAATGAAGTTTCACCTCATCTAGGTCCTTCCTCTACTCTTGGCTTCTTTCTGCTCTGAACTCCTTCATAGCAGTTTCTTCTTAAAAAAGAAACTCACTGTCCATATCAATCCATTTTTCCAGGGTCATATCCTACCTTGAAATTTAACCAAGTTCTTTCGTGTTTCTATCTTATGTCATATGTACGTCTATATCAAATAAATAGTATCCTTCTGAAGGTTCCTCAAGGAATTTCCAGTCTCATTTGTTCTTCAATCAAATTATTAACCACTAATTAACTGAACCCACAAGTATTTTAAAATTTCCTTTGAATGTAAGGATGCACATTCGGTATTAAGGGCAAAACAAGACTATATGCTTGTAGTACCATATAATAATCTTAAGAATTCACTTCTGCATACAAATAACAGTTGAATATTTGGGAGTAAACAGATGACACAATTTTCTTCCTTGCTTTATTATTTTGTATTTCTGAATTTATGTGTTAAAAGAGTTGTAGCCTACTACCTCCAAATAAGAAGCCAATGAATTAATTTATGAATATTGCAAATAAGAAAATTTTAAATGCTAATAGACACTTCCATGAAAATAGTTTAGAATTCATTCAATAATTTTAGACTTAAAAAATCTCCATGTGGAATATGTGGACATATCAAAGAGACTATAGTTGGGACCTTCAAAAGTTGTAGCACTAACACTTGAAACAACAGCAGAAGAAGGTTCTGGGATCAACAGAACACTCTTTGATGATGACGCCTGTCCCAAGTACTAAACACAATTATACTGGGCAGGTGAGTACATAGTACAACACTCAGCTTTCTAAGAGTTAAAATGTGCTGCTTACATGGAGGGAGATGACGCTGAGTAGCTAAGAAGTGCCGATATAGTGAAGCAGAAAGTCCATCCTAGTGCATATTATTTATAGAATAGGGAATGTTCTCAGCTAAAGTACTAGAAAAAAAAAATTGGCCCACAAAGGCAGAACCACAAAAAATGCCAAGATTTACAAATTCCATCATGTTCAAACATAGCAAGTATAAAAACAAGTAAACGTTTCTTACATATTAAAGAAACAAATTTCCAAAACTAAAGCTTATCTGTTAGCACTTATTTACCAGTCTGAATTTACTTTTTAAGGCCTTAAAAGACGCATTCAGGATAAAAACAAATAAAAGTGCCAAAGTTTTTGGAAGCCATATGTTAACTTAGGATGTTATCTATATTTTCTTGGACCAATTTATTTTTAAGAGGTGGAGATACTGGCACCTTTTCTTGTAAATGTTTACATATCTCACCAACACCATTAGTCTGTGGCAGAGAGCATCTCCTATAAAAACACAATGCCATTAAAAAAATTAACAGGTATACTGAAACGGGAAAGAAACTTGGTTTGAATTAATAAATTGTACTCAGAGATTCCCTTATTATCCTTTAGGATAACCAGAGAATCCTTTTAACCTGCACTCTTAACCCAGCAGGTACATATTAATAAAATAATTTCCAAGTACTCAATTAAAATATTACTTATAATACTTTTCTAGTTACCTACAACTTTTTTCTTTTAGCAAAGAAGTCAATTTGTCAATTTCTTAAGATGACTTGTTTTATAAGTTCCACAATATTAACATATTCCAATAATAAATTTATTATTTGTACAATTTATTTCACATATAATAATACAAAACATTATTTCTCTCTATTCTTAAAGATATTAGAAACTTTCTAAAGAAAGTTCTATTCTTAAAAAGAAAAGTTCTATTCTTAAAAGGAAGAAGCACTCAATTTTCTTTTGAATTCATTTCTCCAGAAGACCAGTACTTAAGGACTTCTGGAGTCTAGCTATGTTGGCATCCAATGCTGCAAGGCCATTTCTGAAGTCTTGTTCATCATGAGAAGTGAAAGTTGAAATAGAAGAGATGCTCCAGTCAGACATCAAGTCAGAATTTAAAACACTACCATCAGGGACAGTATTGCCTTTCACTTGAATGCTGCTGTTGTGATAAGTTGACAGGCCATGACATGTAGCCTGCTCCTCTGGATCTTCAGTGGCAGCAGGGATCTTACCAATTGCCTCCTTTATTTTCTTGAGGAGCTGTTTGTCTTTCATATCAGCTGTTCTGGAAAGTTTTTCAGGTGCATATTCTGCTTCTATTGTTGAAGAAGAACAAACTATGGGTGCACACAGTTTATTTTCTTTTTCACAGACAAGTCTGCTGTTGCTGATTGGCTGTGTTGTAGCTACACTTATCTGTGGCTGAGGGGATATTCTCTTAGAAAGTGGTGATTTTTTTTTAGGAGTATTTCTAGCAAAAGGAATGTAAATTGTATTATCCAAATTATGCTCATCTTCACTTAAAGTCATCGTTTCACTCCCATCATCAGAAACCTGTTTTGAAAGGGTAGAAATGATTCCAGGTATGGACACTTCCTCCATGCCCTTAGTGTTACTATACTGAGGGCCTCTGTCTGGCTCTATGATTTCCTCATTTTTAATTGTAGAAAGTGGCTGTGAATGTGTAAAACTGTGATTTGCTTCTAACTTACATAGGTAGTTCATTATGGAAGTGTGAGCAGAGGCTGGGTCCTGCTGAAGTTGTTTATCGTGAATGTTCAGAAGTGATTTGGTAAGGTTATTCCCAGGCTTGCAGCGAGCACTGTCCACACTAAGATCTGAGAGAAGTTTTGCCATACTGTTCTGTAATGTTCTGTTAAGAAGAATTTATTAGACTAATTATTTTTTAACCTTTCTTTCATTCATTTAAATATACCTCTATCTTTAAAAACAAGGATTTGAAGGAAGCACTGGTTCTTAACATGAAAACAAGCAACTAAAACCACAAAATCACAGAATATGCTTTCGCAAGAGTAAATTAAAATAACAAATGATAAAAGAAAATCTTGGTTTGTATCAAATCTATTATTTTATCTAAAAATAAAGGCTCAGAAATTTTTTGTCTTTTAAAGTATGGAAATGCTTTATTCTTGAGCAACACTGCAACATTGAGCCTTACAATGAAAAATTTGCCCCATGTAGGTAGACTAAAATACAAAGGAAAATGTAAAATACACTACTTAATTGCTATGAATTCTGTTAGAATTAAGTTATTTTCCTCTATTCAACATATAACTGCACTGGAACCATATTACAAAAAAAGGATGGTTAGAGATAACTGTCTGGCATAATTAGGTAACAACAGCTAGGTACCAGAAAAGTGTATGAGGAAAACCACACAGGGTATGAAGTTAGACAAAAATGGAATCAAATCTTAGTGCTATCATTAGCTGTGATCTTAGGCAAGCCATTTAACCTTTCTGAATCTCAATTCTTCAATTGTAAATGAAGATAGATACCTCAGAATTACAATGAAGCTTAAAATAATAAGATGTAAGGGTAAAGTGTTTAGTGCAATTTCAGCCTAAATGGGTGTTCACTTGATGGCAGCTTTTATTTGTAGTCCTATTAAAGCCATTTTATGCGAAGCCTTTAGTCTATTTAAATTGAATCTTATATAGCCTAACAAATCAATGATAAAAAATAAGCATACCAATTTAAGCAAAGATACAAAGGACATCAACAGATAACTAACAAAAAAATAAAACTAGCCAATAAGCATGTTTTGAAGTTCAACTTGTAATCAGGTAATTCAAAATTTCAAAATGTGACTTTTTTTTTTTGGTTATCAAATTTACAGTAAAATAAGAATAATATGCATAGTTAGAGAAGCTTGGAGGGGCAGGTACTGTTTGGTGGGGTATAACTTCTAGAGAGCAAACTGGCAATACATTTCAGAAGACTTTAAGATTTGTAAATCTCACACCCTTTGACCCACCAATCTGCACTTGTAAAAATGTGTCCTACACAAAGAGGCTGTACTCAAAGATATATTTACAAAGATGTTATCTATAATAGAAAATAACTGGACATATCTTTATCTTCAAAACAGTGAACTGATTCAGTTAAATTATAGTATAACTGCATCATAGCCACTTATAGTCATGATGTAAAGAATATGTATCGACGGAAATGTTCATTATATAAGATTAAGTTAAAAAGAGCAGGCCATAAATAATATAGATACAATACTCTTTTTAAAAAATAGTCACACACACAAACATAAAACTAAAAGGAAATCTCTATGCTAACAGTTAGAAGTGATTATATCTCTAGATATAGACTGACTTTTTCCTACAAAAAGAAAAACAAATTTTTTCCAACATGGCTTACACTGTCATCTTAAACATGCTCTACCTCGACTTCTGATTGCTCTTCAAATGGCGATGGCTACTGCCACTTCTCAGACCTCTTTCCAGAAGGTAATGAGGAGCATGACATCAGCATAATGGTAGAATAAGGGTTCCTACCTAGAATGCCCCTCACAGAAATCTAAGTAAGAACTATCCACAGACAAGTATGCCTTCATGAACATCCTAGAACTCAGGAGTAGGGCTGATATCCTCTCAGACCACAGAACTGAAAGTCACATTAGAAGGCTAAGAGGAACAGCTTCCCCCTGATCATGTCACCCCTCCCCTAAGCTGGCACAGCACCACACAAAGAGGATTCCTCTGGGCCAGCAATTTCTATAGTGGGGAAAAAAAGAGCTGGAGGTGGACATTCAGCTTCTGCAGCTTTCTGGGATGCTTCACAGGAGGCTCACTTCTATCTTGCCTCAGTTGTTTCAACAGGGATAGAGTACCTGGGGTTAGCTCGAAACATAGACGGGCACAACCACCAGTGCATGGATCTTGGTGATGGCTCTGCATTAAAGCCAATGGAGATGCCCAATGAGAGAACAGCCAACAGTGTTGCTCTGCAGAAATCACAGCCAACACATCTGCCAGGGTTGAGTCCCTACCAGCTCTCCTACCCAAGCCTTCAGCAGTCTCAATGCTCTGCTTAAGACTTCCTCAGGCCCAGAGGCAAGCGAATATCTGCCTACATCTGTGAAGGAGAGCATATGGCCCTACCAGCCTCTAGCAGTTCAGTGATGACCCTGTCCAATCTTGTAGCTCTGCATTCAGCTTCCTGAGGCTGGAAGGCAAACACACATCACTGCATAACTGCAGAGTATCTGGTTGTGCCTGACCCTAGCAGTCAAGCAGTGATTCCACCAAGCTTTGGAGCCCAGCCTGAGGTTCTGCGCAGGCCCATGCAGGGAAGCTGGTAACTGCACATATTTGTGGAGCACAACTTCTGGCTCTGCCTGTCCTGAGGATTCAAGTGGTAACCTCGGCAACCTCAGCCCAAGCTGGAGGCCCTGCCCAATTACAGATTCCAAATAGTAGTGGCACCCAGCCAGGGAATACAGCCTGCAATCATGCCCAATCAGAAGTGATCGCTGAGCCCGGCCAGAGGTCTCACCAGAGCATGTAGCCAGTGGCCCCACCCAACCTTGAAGCACAGGCAGTAGCCCAGCTAGAAAACCAAGGTCTACCTGCCTATGGTTACTACCAGGTGGCCCATCCAGAATCCCAGACTCAATAATGCAATGTCTTTTGCTTTTCCTACTGTTAAACAAAAGTTTGAACAAAATTATTCTATAACATATAAATGTGAGAAAAAGGCAATATTTCTATGTAAACAGACTATTAATTTCAAATGTTTATAAAACTAAATTAATAAATTAAATATTACATATATATCAGTGTTTCACCTATTTCCCTACAAGTTTATAATACAAAATGGAAAGATGTTTATAATTCAAAATAGATCTGTTCATTGGAAATACAAGAAAGATTGTTTATATTCAGGATTGTTTTATATTTGGAACTATGAACTTCCAGGATCATTCATAGACACAGTAGATTTGATGATCTTCAGGCCTAAAATAACTGACTCTCCTCTAAGATTTAAAAAAGTAGTTGAAAATCTAATTCTTAGCAAATTTGTCTCAAAAGAAAACTAAACTTTGTAATTATATATCACATAAAAATTGAGTTGAGGCAATTTTATTTATTTCAGGAAAAATCTCTTAGGTAACGAAGGGATATCAGGGGCTGCTGCCAACTCCCTCATTTTACTGATAAAATGAAGAACATGAGGCTCAAAGTGGATAAATGACTTATCCAATATCGTATGGCATGAGGGCTTACCACATTTAGTGCTTTTCATGAATTATTTCTGAACTAAGAAATAATTACACTACCACAATAACTCTACATCCCCACTTTACAACTGAGATTTAGAGAGGTTAAACAATTTGCTCAAATTTACTCAGCCAATAATACATGGCAGAACTGAGATTCCATTCCGGTCTCCCTAGTTCAGAGCCAGAGATCTCAACCACTTTGTTAGATAAGTCTTCAGCTCCACATCAGAGCACTCTGCCTGGAATCACAGGGTTTTAAAAACACATTTAGCCAGGTTTGCAATTTCTAAACTAACTTAATTGGAACAAAAGAAAATATCATTAGAAATTAGCAAAAACATTGACAAAATAAGAGAAAAAGACAAGAGAAAGAGAATAGATCTGACATTATTTTAAAGTTTATAAAAGCATCTAATACAAACGGCATGGGTTATTCAAAGGAAGTCAATTTTACCTTGTTAATTCTCTCAGTCGGGTTACCTCAGCATCACGCTGACGTAATGTTATTCCCAATATCTGATTTTCCTTTTCAGCAGTTTCTAACTTAAACTGGGAGCTTTTCACATTGACTAAGGCTTCCTCCAACTCTAAAACAACAAAAATGCTTCAGTTTCCTTCCTCCCTTTAAAAAATGTGACCATATAACTACTATCTAAATACATACCAATGTTTATTCTTGTTATCTCCATGTCAAATTGCTGTTTATTTTCAAGTATAGTTTGTTCTTTGTCTTTAAATATATTACTAAATTTTTTGTTTTCATTCTTCTGATTTTCAATCACTTTTAAGAGCTCTTCATTTTTATTCTGTAGTAATTCCTGACTCTTTAGTGACTCCTGCAATTGATTTTGCAGTGACATGTTCAATGACTGAAGAGAAAATACTGTAAGACAAAACAGATCAAATAGTTGTTTCCTAATTTAAGAAGTACAGACTTGGAAAAGACAGTTTCTAAAAAAAGAAAGGCCTGGAATTTACTGATTTTGCTTATTTATATGCATCAGTAGTTCTATATAAATGTTACAGATATTTTTAAAAATTGATTGGTAGAAGTCATGTCATTCTCCAAATGATATTATGGGCATTACATTTTTTTCCTCACTTTTTTAAATGAAATGATAATATACATCTACAAAGTAAAAAAATTCAAACACAACAAAATACCAATGATACTACCAAATGATTCTCAGTGAAGAAGCTCCCTCCCACTCTAACTCCCCTCTTCCCACAGAGATAATCACTATTAATTTTTGTATCTTTCTGGAAAACACTTTTACATATAGTATTTTATATAAATATGAAAAAAATATATATAGTTTCTAACTTTGCCTTTTTTTCATAAGATTGTTATGTATCAGCACATAGATCTATCACATTCTTTTTCATGGCTATAAAAGTATAGGGCACCCGGCCTGAGAAACACAGTGAGACCTCATCTCTACAAAAATAAAAATAAAAAAATTAGCCAGGCATGGTGATGCACACCTGCAATCCTGGCTACTTAGGAGGCTGAGGCAAGAGAATCCCTTATGACTAGGAGCTTGAGGGTACGGTGAGCTGTGGATTGTACTATTGCACTCCATCTTGGGCAACAGAGCAAGACCCTGTCTCCAAAAAAAATAAATATATATATATATACACACACATATATATATATAAACATATATATATACACATATATATACACACATATATACAGGGCACTATTTATTTAGCAAATACAGCCTTCAGAGAACACTTGCTATATGTGAGGCACTGTATTAGAATCACACAGGTGAACAACATAGACATGGCCGCTGCTCTCACAAAGCTGATAACAAAGAAGTATTATAAATAGTAATAAATGCTCTCAAAGAAACAATAAGGTAAATGAATGGAAAATAAAGAGAGAAGCTATTTAGAGTGGCAACCACTGATCTCTCCACTTTCCCTCCTGGCCTCCTCTTCCCCTGCCCATCTTTTGTTCAGTGGAACCAGAGTGATATTTTCTGAAGTAACTCTGGTGATATTGAACACTTTTATGAAGTGCCCATTCTGTTGGGTGCTCATATTTTCTTATTGCTTTGGAAGAGATACTTACATATTAAGAAAATTAAGGCCGGGCGTGGTGGCTCACGCCTGTAATCCTAGCACTCTGGGAGGCCGAGGCGGGTGGATTGCTCAAGGTCAGGAGTTCGAAACCAGCCTGAGCAAGATCCCGTCTCAAAAATAGAAAGAAATTAATTGACCAACTAAAAATATATATACAAAAAATTAGCCAGGCATGGTGGCACATGCCTGTAGTCCCAGCTACTCGGGAGGCTGAGGCAGAAGGATTGCTGAGCCCAGGAGATTGAGGTTGCTGTGAGCCAGGCTAACTCCACGGCACTTACTCTAGCCTGGGCAACAAAGTGAGACTCTGTTTCAAAAAAAAAATAAAGAAAATTAAGCCTTTTTTATGTCATGTATTTTTAAAATTTCCCATTTTGTTGATTCTTTTTTAGTGTATTTATAATTTTCCTATGCAGAAATTGAAAAAATTTCATGGGGACATATTTTATTCATTTTTTTTTTTTTTGGCTTTTGGTTTTTTTTCGGGTTTGGGAAAGGTTCCCAAAATTCCCAAAAGAAAAAAAGTTCTTATTTTTTTTCTAGTACTATTTGTTTTTTTCTTTATTAAGCTCTGTGATCCATAAGGACAATTTGGCAGTATCTGTCACAACTGCAACTGTATACACCCTTTGGCTCAGCAATTTTACTGCAATAAATCTGTTCTACAAAAATACTAACATATGTGCACAAAGACAAGTACAAAGATTTTCATTGCAGTGCTGTTTGAGTTGAGAAAAAAAGGGGAAACTACCTAGTTAGCTATCAGCAGAGGACCTTAAATATATTATGGTAAAACTGCATAAGCAGAATCTCCAAGTAGTTCTTAAAGGGAAAGAAGCAAATTTATGTATTTTGAATAGACAAAAATGTCCACTATGTTAAGTGAATAAATGCAAGCCATGGGAGTGTATATACAGTATCTCATTTTTCAAAAAAAGGAAAGAGTACATATATAGTTCTATTTGTGTCTGGCATATAGTAGGTATTCGGTAAATATTTGTGAAATAAATCAATTATATATGAACAGAAGATAGTAAAAGGAAACATAACTGTTTTTCAAAAATTGGGGTAGTCCTCCAGTTCCCTTTCCCATCAGATCTGAACACTGGTCTACGTGGTCATAAAAGAAGGAAAAGTAATACGGAAGCTGGCCTCGCAGTGTTGTAGTTTGTTATATAGAATGTGGGCTAGTTTCACACAAGGTTGAAAAGAAAAAAAATTAAAAATTGGAGTATATTACTGGGAAGTGAGATCATGGATCATTTATTTTTCAATGTTTCTGCACTATTTGAAATTTTAATAAGGACTATTATTTCTTTTTTTTTTTTTTTTTTTTTTTTTGAGACAGAGTCTCGCTTTGTTGTCCAGGCTAGAGTGAGTGCTGTGGCGTCAGCCTAGCTCACAGCAACCTCAAACTCCTGGGCTCAAGCGATCCTTCTGTCTCAGCCTCCCAAGTAGCTGGGACTACAGGCATTCGCCACCATGCCCGGCTAATTTTTTTTTTATATATATATCAGTTGGCCAATTAATTTCTTTCTATCTATAGTAGAGACGGGGTCTCACTCTTGCTCAGGCTGGTTTTGAACTCCTGACCTTGAGCAATCCGCCCGCCTCAGCCTCCCAAGAGCTAGGATTACAGGCGTGAGCCACCGCGCCCGGCAGGACTATTATTTCTTAAGAAAAGAAAATCCACTTATACGAAGTAATTAAGAAAGTTCAATTCTTTAACAACATTTCCAGGGCAACAAGGAATTTAACATCAATCCTTATAGTTCTTTTACCTACATTCAATGTTGCATTCCACAGTACCAGATGCTTTATGAGTTTTTTCTTGTTCTCTAAGTCGCTGGTTCAAAATTCTCAATTGCCTAAAGGAAATAATGAAGAACTATGAACATAAGACTCCCAAGTGCATTTAACAATATACATGTGACAGCCTATCAAAAAGGAGAAAACACAAACAGTGATGCCCACCACTCATTAGGAAAGCAGAAGCCCATCCAATCCCCAAGACAAAAAACAAAAAATAAATAAACAAAAACCAACAAAATCACACTACTATTATAGGGCCTAAGATAATTGTTAAAAGATTGTCTGAGACAGCATAAAACCACCCCTCACCAGAAAAAGGGTAACTTCTATTTTTTTTCTCTTTTTTTGTTCTCTTATCTTTTCTATGATTTCTTTGTGTTTTTCTATTTCTTTCCTTTTCTGTCTCCTCTTGTTATTTTCTGTTGTTATTTTCTTGTTATCTTCTTTCTGTGTATCTTCATTACTGTAGTTAATTATCTACTTTTTAAAAGATCTATCATTTCTATGACCTAGAATAGAGGCACTGAGTGCTAGTAGACATCTATCTGCTTGATGTCTGTCACATGCACAAATCTATGCATCTAGTAATTTCTTTATTAGATGGGAAAGTTAATGGAACGTAACAAAAGTGTTTTCTTTACCTCTAAGAAGTAATTGCTTAGGGAAAAAAAAGTTTTCTATTATCTTTCCAGAATTAATTACCTGAAAATATTTTGCCTTAAAATGTTTATTTTTGGTACAGAATCTAAAATGATAGTACCCTATCTCATATCATTCACACGTATTAATTCTGTATTGATTAAAGTGCTAAACATAAAATATACAAACAAACAAAACCCAACTATACAAGTTTTAGGGGGAAACCTACCTAAATTTGAAATGGGGAAAGCATTCCTAAGAAAAACTCAAAATCCAGCAACCATCAAGGAAAAGAAAGAAAGATTTATCTACATGAAAATCTGAAACTTGTTCTAGAATTAACAGCCTGAAAGAAAATACCTGCCACAGATATAACACACGAGGGGGTCATAACATTTAAAGAGCTCCTATAAATCAGTAACAAAGGCAACTTGGTAAAAAATGACAAAGGATAAGAATGAGCAGTTCACATAAAAAATAGAAATGGCCTATGAGCATATAAAAAAAATGCTCAGCTTCATTAATAGGAAGAACTGCAAATTTAAAGAAAAAGATTTTTTTGACCACAGGATTAATAAAAACAAACAAAAAACACCAAGACACAAAATAACACTTGTTGATGATAATATAGGGAAATGAATTATCTCAATTGGTGGGAGACTACTGGTATAATCATCTTGGACAGCAATTTAAAATATCCAACAAAACATAAAATGTTCATAATCTTTGATAAAATTATTCTACCTCTAGGTTATAGTATCAGAAATAGTTGTACGTGTGCAAAAGCATCTACAACCTTGTAACTATATACGAGGATGTTTAGAACAGCAACTATTTAATAGTGAGAAGTTGGAAACAACTTAAAATGCTGCATAAATCACGGTACATCCATATGTGAAATGCTAACACATGGTTATTAAAAAGAATGAGACATGAAAAGATGTCTAGCTACTCTCTACTCCGAGACACATTATGAAGTAAAATAAGCAAGCTGCAAAACAACAGTATAATATGAGCTCACTTTTGTTGTAATAAAACTCTTAATTTTCCTCACTCTTTATGAGAAAGAGTGAAGATCTAGAAAAGGTAGCACAGATTGGTAACCCAGAACTCTAAGGAGGTTTCTTCTAGTATTTTTCCAAAAGCAGCAGATGCCCTAGGTCCTCCTACACAGCAAGTATGTGTCAGAAGCTTTGACTGACACTCTTTTTATACGTCCCTGGTCAGATTCTTCTCTTCCCAAATGTAGCCAATCTAAACTTTTCATAATTCATTGCAAGCCTTTCATAACTCATTGCAAGCCTTTCATTTCTACCTTCCTCCTCTCAGTTGGATACATTCCTACGTTCATTAAAAACAATGTGGTTTGGGGACAAACTCTGTTATCCTTTGGTCCCAGGGTGTATCTGTATGTTTCTAATCCTCACTTCTTCTGTAGTCTGAGTGAGTAGCCTCATCTGCCCCCTGGATCCCATCTCCTCCTAGACTCTCAAGAACTCTGCTTCTATCCCACTCCCTTTATCTTCTTCTATATCTGCACCTTCTCCTTCGCTAGTTCGTGTACCTGAGACAAGAAGCATACTACAACTCCTCTCATATTTAGGGAAAACTCTCTCCAACCTAACTGTACAACTAGCTACTCTCTTCTCTCTCATTCCCACCTTTCAAAAACTAATTATTCTATTCTTTTAAAAAATAATTATTCTATTTAAAAATGATACATGAGGCTAGGTGTGGTGGTGCATGCCTGTAGTCTCAGCTACTCGGAGGCAGAAGCGGGAAGATCACTTGAGCCCAGGAGTTTGAGGCTGTAGTGCATTGACTACACCTGTGAATAGCCACTGTACTGCAGACTGTGCAACATGGCAAGACCCTGTCTCTACAAAGAAATAAAAAAATAATAATACTATAAAAATGAAACATGATAAAAACAAAATAGCAAAGAATATTTTAAAAATTGATAACATTACACATTTAAAAATATTATGTACTAAATCTAAATATACTTGATTTTAACAAAGTAAAAAAATTGCTGGCATTTAGACAAATATTTCTTTTTTTAAATTCATTCTTTTTCTTACATAGTTTTATTAAGATAAGACTGATAGACAATAAACTACATAAAATTTGAAGTGTATCATTTTGTTTTGATATATGTGGTGAAACCATCATCACAGTTAAGATATTCAACACCCTAAAAAGTTTCCTCATGCCCCTTTTCATAACCCTCCCTTTATAGACAACCACTGATTTACAGATTAGTTTACATTTTATAGAATTTTATATAAATGGAATTATGCATTATATATTCTTTTAGTCTGGCTTTTTTCACTCAGCAAAATAATTTAGAGATTCATGCATGCTATTGCAGTCATCAATAGTTCCTACCATTTTATCATTGAGCAGTATTCTATTGTATGGATATACCACCATTTGTTTATCCATTCACTTATTGGCAGGTATTTAGATTGTTTCTCATGAACATTTGTAAACAAGTTTTTGTGTGGACATATGTTCTGACTTCTTTTGAGCAAATATCTAGAAGTGGCTGAATCATACGGTAAATGTATGTTTAATTTCTATGAAACTGTCCAACTATTTTCCAAAGTGGTCAAACCATTTTACATTCCTAAAAGCAGACTATGAAAGTTCCTGTTCCTACACATCCACACTAACAATAAATAGAGTCTTTTGGCCAGGCATGGTAGCTTGATCCTAGTACTCTGGGAGACTACGGCTGGAGGATCACTTGGGCTCAGAGCAAGAACAAGATCCCATTTCTACTGAAAATAGAAAAATTAGCCAGGCCACCCCATGCGTATAGGTACCTATAGTCCATCCCAGCTACTTGGGAGGCTGAGGCAGGAGGATCGCTTGAGCCCAGGAATCTGTGGTTGCAATGAACTATGATGACACCACTGCATTCCATCCTGAGTGACAGACTGAGACTCGGTCTCAAAAAACAAAACAAAACAAAACAAAACAGCGGGTGTTTTGATTTTTAGCCATTCTAATGGGTATGCTGTGGTATCCTTTTATGGTTTTAATTTGCATTTTCCTAATTATTAATGATGATAAACCATCTTTTCACATTCCTATCTGACATCCATATATCATCTTTGAGTGAAGTATGTGTTCAAACATTTTGCCCACTTTTAAACTGCATGTTTTAAATTTTATACTGTCTTACTGAGTTGTAGTAGTTGTTTATACATTCTAGATACAGATCCTTTATCAGATATATACTTTGTAAATATTTTCTCTCAGTCTGTTGGCTGCTTCTTCATTTTTTGTAACAGTATCTTTTTTTTTTTTTTTTGAGACAGAGTCTCACTTTGTTGCCCAGGCTAGAGTGAGTGCCGTGGCGTCAGCCTAGCTCACAGCAACCTCAAACTCCTGGGCTCGAGTGATCCTTCTGCCTCAGCCTCCCGGGTAGCTGGGACTACAGGCATGAGCCACCATGCCCGGCTAATTTTATATATATATTAGTTGGCCAATTAATTTCTTTCTATTTATAGTAGAGACGGGGTCTCGCTCTTGCTCAGGCTGGTTTTGAACTCCTGACCTTGAGCAATCCGCCCGCCTCGGCCTCCCAAGAGCTAGGATTACAGGCGTGAGCCACAGCGCCCGGCTGCATTTTTTGTAACAGTATCTTTTGAAGATCAAAAGTTTTAGATTTTGATGAAGTCCAATTTATCCATTTTTTTCTTTTCCAGTTACATTTTTTATGTTGTTTTTAAGAAATGTTTCCAATTCAAAGTCACTAAGATCTTTTCCTACCTTTTCTTCTAGAAGTTTTGTAGGTTCCACTTGTATATTAAGATCTCTGATTCATTTCAAGTTCATTTGTGTGTATGTTATGAGGCAGTGGTCCCCAACCTTTTTGGCACTAAGGACTGGTTTCATGGAAGACAATTTTTCCACAGATCGGGAAGTGAGGGAGATGATTTGGGGATGATTCAAGCACATTACATTTATTGTGGACTTTATTTCTATTATTACATTGTAATATATAATTATATAATTACACAACTCACCATAATACAGAATCAGTGGGAGCCCTAAGCTTGTTTTCCTGCTAACACATGGTCCCATTTGGGGGCAATGGGAGACAGTGACACTCAAATTATGTTGCTTATGTCCATTCTACTTTGTAATCTCATTTCGCTACTGTTACTGAAGAAAACCCTGCTTCACAAAGATAGGATGTTGGAAATGGAAGCAGGCTTTTCAGTGCTTCTATGGCAATCCCAGGATACCCTGACTTTTTAAAATATTTTGTTGCTTAAACAGATGGAAGGATAACTTGACTTTCATCTAGAATGTATGGAGAGATTTGAAGTTGTCCCAAACATACTTTTAAAGCCATCATCATTTGCTGTCTCAAACAGTTGATCCTCTCCTAACATGGACAAAG